ATTTATCCAATTAATTTCTACCTCGGTTGCCAAGCAATTTATTGCAACTTTCACATTTTCATTACGCTTCTCCGCTGCTCGGCTCTCGGCGCCCGACGCTCGCTGTTTGCGTTGGCCCATCGCATCTCCTATATCTCAATTTCCTTGCTTATCTTTGCCAGTTCCCAGCGATGTTCCCACAGCTGTCTGCACCTTGTGCCCCTCGGCTGTTATTTCAGTTGCAGTTTGCACGCTTTCCACGCTCTTTGATTGCCAGCTAGCTACCTCTTTCATTCCCCGCCATTTTTCCGCGCTTTTCTGCCCCTAAGTAAGCGCCTCAATTATAGACCCAGAAAGACAGACAGAGGGATAGGGAGACAGGCCAGCAAATACGGGGGAATTTTTCAGCTAAGACGTGAAAACCGTGGATTGTTGGAAGCCAGAGTTGAAGGTGGAGATATCCCCTCAGCACGATAGCAGCTTATGAGCAGGGCTTAAGTATCCCGAAGCGAGCCAGACTGTATGCCCTGCAATTGAGCTCTCGGTAAATAGTTTGCTTCGCTGCAGTTTGACGTTTGATTGGTAATCATACCGGGCAAGGTACCCGCGGGAATCAGAGATTATCAGGATGATAAGGATGGAGCAGATGAGAGGCGAATCTGCTGATTATTTTACTGATTTGGAACCAGCTACAAAATAATCTTAAATACTTTAAGTAACACTAAACAAATCATAAGAAAATCTTTAAAACTCTGACCTATTTTCATAGGAATGAAACTGATCTTGATAACAAATAAGCGAATTATTCAAAATACATTTTAAAGAAAATTGTTTCTAATAAATTGTCCTTAGCTTGTTGTAGAGGCCATTTTCATACATCAATGGTCGCTAATGTATTTTGTTTTTGTTTTTCTTTTTTTTTTTCAATTTGGAAATAACAAGTTCAGTGTCAGCACAAAAAGTTGTTTGGCATTTTGCAAAAATTATTAGCCAAAATAATGAGGCTCCACGCCCCAAAAAGGGCTTTCCCTTCCTTCCGCTTTTCCAGACCCTCCACACACACAAGCACACACAAGCCCTGGAAGCCACAACCAGCAATGACCTAATAAATCCGTTTTATGTCTTGGTCCTGGCGCCGCCTTCATTCGACTCCAATCGCGTGGACGGAAAAGCCAGCGGCGTCTGTTTGTGGTAAAGCCCCTCAGACACAGCCTCCGTTTCCCGTTCTCGACTTCCCCAACACTCAGCCTAAGCACTGAGAAAATCCAGGGTTCAAACATGCATAGTAATTTGAAACTATTATATAATTGGTTTGACTTTTTATAATACTCGAAGATTCTTAATACACATTCATATCCCGCATATCAGAAAAAAAAATAGCGATGTAGGAATATTTTCTTATGCATTTTTAAAGCAATTTTGAACTTGATTGCCATTTTATCGCGCAGTGCACATTCCCGTGCCCTTTTCAATTCATATTCAAATTCAAATTGTAGGCGTGGCCGCGCCATTTAATGTCTGCGCCATTAGCTGCACTAATGATCCATTCACCAGGGGCAAAATCAAAGGAGAAAAAAAAATCGAAAAGGGAAAACGAAATCGCGGAACGCGAAAGAAGGAAAGCCCCACGGCGGCCATATTTAAATAAGAACCCGGGATGCAGACTGTCCTTCCCCACACACACACACACACACACACACAGAGCAGGCCAGACCCATCCCAAATACGAAACACAGACAGACACATCGGCATTGTCAATATGCTTAATGGATTTTCAAATATTTAAACAACCGAGAGCCGGAGAGCAGGGCCCAAGACGACGGCGGTTTCCCTAACCTCGCCTCGGTTAGCCCTAAATGCATTCGCACACACATTTACGCATCCCGATAAAGGACACAAGGGCACATGCATACATACATACATACACATATAAATCAAATGTTATGGGTCCCGGGCTAATGGAATTACAAATTGGAAATTTTCTTCTGTTTGCCATGCATAAGCGGTAATTGATAATTGATAACTGGGTCAGGACAATCACCATTATCTGCATTATGAAAGGGGAACTACACATGAGAGCAATTCTCTAAGGGTGATATAAATTTAAATGGAACAATTAATATCTGGGATTAATCAATTTATTTGTTTAACATGTTCTTAATAAAATTATAGTTACCACGTTTAAATGAATATTTTGTATTATGAGTAAATTGAAATCTATTTCCAAGAGAAATAACCTTCCCTATATTTCCCTTAAAATTATTTGTGATGTTTAAGTTCAGTTAAAATTGAATCCATCTTTATACTTTTTCCCAATCTTAATACAAAAACGGACAATTGCTTGTGCACTGCCATATTTATTCACATGAGTTATGCGATATGCATTTTATTTTATTTCAATTTAAAAGTTTTAATGAGTTTTTGCACTGTGTGCCCTCTCATGTGAAAAAAGGCTATAGCTACAAACTTGCTGGGATTTTATATTCCGTGTGGAGTTTATTTATTTACACTTTACAGCGATTATTCTGAGCAGAGTTTCCCTTGCCATTGTTTCCGAGCTTCTCGCCATGCCTTTCCCCTCTGAGAACAAATTTTAAATTAATTTCCGAATTCAATTTAAATGCGGCTCTTGCTATTTGGCTTAAACTAATTGCCACTGCTCTGTTTTAGACAAAATCTCAGTGCCACGTGCATGCAATTTTTATGTTTCCCCGAACCGAAAATTGCACTATAAATATTTTCTGAAATCGTGGTTCAACTTGGATAATTTCGATGTACTGAATGAGTTAGAAACAGGAATGGAGTGCTCAGTGCTAATTAACACAACAAATGCCTCTTAAATCATTTAAAATCAGTTGATAGAAAATTAAAAACAATTGAGAGCCAAGAGAGGGAAATAAAGGATTTTCGCAGCCAATTTATCAGACACTTGACAAAGCCTGTCGGAAAACGTTAAATTACTATGCCGGAAGCTCCGCTCTCCCGCTTCTGACATTTATGAACAAATGGGAAAAGTTCCTGCACATTTTTTTATGCAATTTCCCCAGTCCTTTTTTGACGGAAAGAAAATGGCCTCACGGTGTCATTGTTGAAATGTCCGAGTCCGCCAGGAGCTTTGTTCGAATTCCCATTTAAATACATGACGTCTCCGCCGACGCTCCAGGCTAAAAGTCGGCTAATAAAAGTAAAGAAAGTAAAAATATTTGCACAAAAATATTAAAATTTGAATTCTTCACATTTGCCAAAATTAAAGTTGTGTAGCGAGTCCTTTAAGCTATCATTTCGTGCGACAAACACTGAAAAGCCGAGTTTTCCCCCTCGGACGGACAACAACGAAACCTGAACCTGAACGCAGAAGAGGAAATAAAACGCTTTCGAACTGAATTGATTATAATTATATATATTCATTCCATAAATGCAAAATAAGCACCAATAAATATCAATAAATACGTGATTGTCGTGGGTATATACATTGGTAAATATTTTGGCTGGCAAATTTGCTTCCCTGGGCTAAGTAATTAATCACTAAATAATTTGGTAATTTTAATTTACTGCACACACTCGCGGACAAGGGCATGAAACCAATTTGTACCAATGCACCGTTAATTAAGATTTAATGCCGATCGGGAACGCCTTCCGCCGCCCCTTTATCCCTTTTCTATTTGCCATTTTGTATACGTAATTAAGCGACAATAAGCATTTAATACACATTTTCCTATACACACCCACACCACCACCCACACCCAACCTCACACAGTTGCAATTAGTTCGGCGGCGTATCTGTGTATGTTTGTGTACGCCCTTAATGCCACGCCCATTAAGTACACAACAACACCCAAACACACACACACACACACAACAAATTGCTGGTTAATTTGAGAAACAACAAAATGCCAAGCGGCTTCAATTGACATGGACTGTATGGTTGTTATATATTCAATATACATATATATATTTACGCGCACATTTATATACATATTTATATATTTGAAGCTCGGCCCTTATTCGTACATATACATATGTAAATAAATATATATATGTGTGCCTGCAATTAAAAATTATCTGCCAGACGGCATCGGGTATAAAATACACTGTAAATCTGTCTGGAAATTAAGGAGCAGTGAGGAAAGGGAAGGAATTTTCAATGTGGGGTTTTCTTTATCCCCAGGCTTTAGTAAACATCGCAAAATCTACGATAAAGGAATGGCAGACAAATTACAAAACGCTTCACATTTAAAATTAAAAAAAAATAAGGTTTAAAATTTATTTGTGTATTATTATTTCGTTTAAAAATTCAACAAATGCTATCACATAATTATAAATCCAAGTTCTCCACATAGCTTTGCGTTTTCTCAAATTTCTCAAAACGAAAAACTGATTATTTTTCCTTGCACTGTACTCTCTTATAAACCTAGATTTAAGTCCATGTCCCTGATAAAGGAGCTACAAAAACGTGGCATGTAGCGATTACTTCTCCATTGAAATGTTTAATCGCGGTTCCCTGATTTAGAGTCTAACAGTGTAATATATTTTGTCCACATAACTTGTGGGACTGCTTGCGGTGGGGGCTGTGGGGGAAGGGGGGGAAACTTGCATCAGATTAGTAATTATGTAAGACCCTCAACATACCCACACACATAGATTCGCCCCAATGAATCCCCATAAATCCGCGCATAAATACAAATTACACACAGACAAGCAGCGGCAATATCAATTTACTCCCCGAAAGCGGGGGCAGAGGGTTAAGAAGAGGCCAAGCGGCGTAGTCAAAGGTTAAATAAAATCCCATGCATAATGGAAATCGCTCGCAGTCAGATGTCCTTTGGCTTCGTCGTCGTGGTCATTACTTATGTTTTATGACATGCGGCTTAGGGTTTTATATCCGTCGGCATTTCATTTCCTTCCAGCTGCCGAAGCGAAAAGCCATAGCGTAAGCACTCACATATAGTAAAAGTAGCGGCACACTAATCAGTAACTAAGTAACTAATGCACACCTCCCGATTAATCCCCCCTCCTGGCAGACAATCATCCGCGAAATGAATCGACTGGGGATGATGGTCGACCTGTCGCACGTCTCCAAGGGAACGATGCGGGACGCCCTTGAGGTGAGCGAGGCCCCTGTGATATTCTCGCACTCCTCAGCCTACGAGCTATGCAACACGAGCCGCAATGTCCAGGACGACATCCTGCAGGCCCTGGCCAAGAACGGCGGCCTGGTCATGGTCAACTTCTATTCGAAGTTTCTCTCCTGCAGCGACAACTCCACCGTGCACGATGCAGTCGGTAAGTAGTTGGGAAAGTTTGCCAATTACCAATGAATTTATCCTTTTAGGTTGTATTTTTAAAAATGTATTCATTTTCTATACAGATTTAAATAAATCTGTGAAACTCATAAAAGTATGCTAGCAAATAAATTTAAAAATATCCCTTCCATCCGAAATCAATCAAAGCCACTGACTGGGTCGCGGTTGCTTTTTGTTGAGAGGCTCCCCTGATTGTCAGGCTATTGTTTTAGTTGCTTCATTAACTCCTCCTCCCTTTCACTCCCTTTTGTCCTCCTAGGACCAATGCTTCTGATCCTATTCTAATTTTTCTGGCATTGTCTTTGACGCGCCATCAAAATGGGTCTCGCAATCACTTCCTGTATTTTCTTCTCATCCCTTCGAGTCACCTCAGACTTTCCCCCACTTCTTTTCGACTTTAACAGATAAAAAAATTACGTTGGAAAACATATCGAGGGAAATAAATTATATAAAGAATATATTTGTTTAAAATAATAATATGTATTTTAATATTGCAACAACTTTTTTTATTCTATGAAAATTAAATATGGAAAAAATAAATTAAATAAAGAAATCTATAAATATTGATTAAAATGAGAATGTTTCAAGCTTAGTTATGATATATTTCCGATACGATTCTATAATTCGATTGCAAGGGTATATAAACTTCACGAAATTAGTTTCCTGTCTTGAATCAAATAAAATTAATATTAATTTAACTCTTTAGTTTTTTTTTTTTAAAGTAATGTATAACTTTTTCTGCCACTGCTTGTAGTGTAAGATAATCCCCAACTGTTCCCTCTTTTCTCTCCTTTTATGTCCTTGTCACTTTTTTTGGCTGCCGTGGACACATCTCAAATTGGCACAAAATTTTAATAACGCCTGACTTATGATGGCAAATACGACAACAATGGCGTGGTGGACCACCAACAATGGCCCTTAATGAACTCGGTAACCCTGCCAAACCGCCATCCTACTGCCAACCGATATCCTTCACACCGAAAAAAAAACAACAAAAAACTTATTCACTCTGGGATACAGCGCATATTAATCACATTAAGCGAGTCGCCGGCATCGATCACGTTGGACTGGGCGCCGGCTACGATGGCATTAATTAGTAAGTAAAAGTCATTTATTTCACTTAAATTCACATTTCCTCTTCCCTTTCGCCTCGAACTGTACGTATCCGTATAGTCCTCCAGGTGCTTGCCATTCTTTTTTCTCTTCACTTTTTCAGATATTAATTGATTATATTTAAGGCCGAGGTCTTAACATTGGCATATTGCCAGCGGTACGGCGATGGAAGTAGATAGACCGTTATTTTACCGCTCATTACGGCCACTTTTGTTCGTTTTACTTTTTCCGAGCGGCCCGTTTTCCCCCAAACTTGTGCAGTCTGTTTACGAGATTTTTAAGATAATTTAAGGAGCTCTCATCAGGGAAAAACAATAAAAGATTATCCAGTCATTGTGATGGAAAACTTATGAAAATCTGAAGCTTTCAGACCTACGAGCACAAGGATCTCAAATTATATCGAGTTTATACTCTTTATCGGATGCGAATTAAGAGAATGTAATAAGAAAGAGTGTAAATGTAATTTCCTTTAGGTTTTCATTTATATTCCTTATATATTCAGTATTTAAAGCTTTTCAACCACTCCCCATTAAAATATTCGAGTTTTCCTCAAAAATAATTGAAGCACGTGGCCCATTGCTGCATCCAAAAAATGTGCATTACCTCAATGAGCGGCCCCATTGGCTGAGTGTTCTAGTTTGAGGTCCTCTTTCATCAGCATTATCATCATCATGACCATCAGCGTCATTCGTCTTCATTATCGCTTGTAATTATTCCCGTGATGCTGGTGGAAAATGCATTTGCATAGATTTCCATTTCATTGCACCATCGGAGGAAGGGAAGCCCGAACGGGCAAACAAACAAAATGTGAAGCAAAAATTGTGGATAAACCCACTTGTGCGTGTGCCCCTTTTGGGGCTCGCACTGTTTTTTAATTAAATATTTTCGAGTACACGGCATTTCATATTGCATAAAAGAACAACAAAAAAGTGTCCATGTAAATCAATTTCCACTGAAATGAACTTCACAATTTGTTTTTGGCGGAGACCACAAAAATTGACAACAACAAACTGCTCTTGGGAGGCCTGACGGCGGTAATAAAAACAAGAAAACTGAAATTGTGTACACACATGAATATTTATGGACCAGAATACGAAACAAACACCAACATGACACAATAAATAATCTAAAATTCTATGAAATTAGTACATGTCAAATGGGTTTGGTTCCTAATTCCGTTAGAGGGGAAATGCTTAAAAAAATAAGTTCCCATTTTAAAGGTTCGCTGCCTGCTGACCATACACATATGTATATTGGGCATTTAATTTTAAGTTTTTGCCCTTATTTCTGAGACATGTAAGGGAACGACTTAAAAGTTACTATTTTAGGTTACCCATTTATATTTTGTCGTATTCACACAACATATTATTATCATTCCTGCTATTCCCAATTTTTTCCACTCTATTATGTATATTTTAAAGCTCAAGCCTTCATTTATTTCATCAGTAATATTCCGATATATTATATACACATTCGCAGGCGGCTTCTGCTCGTGCCATTTAAATGTGTTTGGTCTAAACGCCTGCATATAAAACTAAATTATTATTTATTTGTATGAAATGTCTGTTCATAAAATATGATTACCGAGCACTTGAGAGCGTTAGGCCAGCAAAATGTTTATTTATTATTTATTCCCCTTTGTGTATGATATTCATTATTTATTTGTTTTTCTGCTCAGGATGATGTCCTGCCCACACGAGTTCTTGTATTTGTCTCTGCCAGTGGCCCGACCTTTAGGTTTCTGTCGATTCAATTTATTTTTTAAGTTCAGTACGCAATTAACATTGATTTAATTTGCGTGTTGAGAATTTTTTTAATTATGTGCATTTTATGAAAATGTTTCATGGTAGAAAACGGAATAACACTGATTGATCTCTTCATCTTGCTCCTTAGCACCCCCAAGGGGCTGGAGGATGTCTCGTCGTATCCGACCCTCTTTGCCGAACTCCTTGGCGGCGGCTGGACAATTGATGAACTGACAAAGCTGGCAGGTGGCAATTTTCTCCGGGTCATGCAGCAGGTGGAAAAGCTGAGGGATGACAAGAAGGCGTCGGGTGTCAAGCCTTTCGAGGATCATCCGAATTTCCGCACCGATGACCCCTACAACTGCACATCCAGCTAATTGATCAGTACCGGACTTAAGCACCAGGTCGTACCAGAGATGCAAGAAATCGAATGAATCCCGCTTCATATGATGTATAGTGGCTTATATGAAACAGCAACTTTCTAAAAACTAATTTCCAGTAAGCTAAGATTTGTATAAGCTTTAAGTACGTGTAATTGTAAGATATATATGGATCTTTAAGAGCCCAATTCTTTGGCTGACAAAGTAATTTCCTCCCCTTTCCCCCTTGGTAACCGAAGACGAATTTCTTTTCATTTTAGTGACAATCTACAGACTGCCAGAAAAACAAACCAAAAAAAAATTAGAAACTTTACTATAAACAGCACACGAAGCCCACAAAAAACTTTCTATGACCATTTTTATACCCTGAAAATAGTAAACCAGACTTTGTTGTAACTCTCATCCAAACTGGACCAACAAGAATTCATTTGGTACCCCTCTTCATTTGAATTATATTCCACTAATTTACACGAAAACTACATATCAAGTATGTATTAAATAAAGAAACCAAAAAATTATATTGAATTAGTGAAGAGTACTTAGTTTTTTTTTTGCATTTCAAAACAATGCAAATATTTGCGAGTGGGGAAGCATACACTTAAAATTAAAAAATAATCATAGGAGAACCAATCGATGAAGGTTAATAATTTAATAAATTCTTAGTTGATATTTCTAAGCTGTTTAAAGGCGACAGAAAACTGACGGAATGCATAGCGTAATAACAACTAAATTAGACAGTAAGCAAAGCGTGCGCGTGGCACTGCCTGCCACACAGTAATCTGTAAATATACCCCTATGCAATAAATATAGTATTAATTTATAGACATGAACACATATAGAAGTCACGATTTATCAACATATTCCCCATAAAACCACATCGCTCTGTCTCTGTACCTTCTAAAGAAAATTCTAGCCAAATGCGTCTGTAGCCTAAGTAAACCAATTATACATGAACGATAACCAATTATAGCGAAGACCCAAAACAAACTCAATAATTGTACATTTTTCTAAACCGAAAACGAACAACATATAATCCTCTACAAAGATTTATATATACATACATATTAAAATCGATTGTTACGTTTTTTGTACAATTTTTGTATCTGTAAATAGCATTTTTACCTATGCTCTCATTTATATAGTTTTCTAGCAAACAATTCAAGCGTATTATTGTACTGGATCAGAATAAGCAGACTTGTTGGTAATCACCCTTAGTTCTTAGTCAGACCTAGAAGGCCGCGAAAATAAATATATCTGTAATGTTTATACATATACGAAATATGCCTAGTTATAGTATTTAAACCAAATTCAACATACACAACATGCATATACATACATATATACACTGAAACTCGATTCTCCTCCATTAATATCCCCGTATTTATTTGATCTCTGGTTTATTTTTTCAACTAAGCCATAAACACAGAAACACGCATATGTAAAACCAAATTGTAGTTAAAAACTTGAAAAATGGTAAAATTATTAGCAAATAAAAAAACTGAAATGGCAAACAAAAATTGCGATAAATATAAAACAATTCAAGAAAAGTTTACTGATTTATTTTATTATTATGGTACGGGATGCGCAAAAGGTAACTGGTATTTCACACGTACACTCAACTATATACATATATACTAATATATATACATATAAAGGGTCGGAAATGATTCCTTTAGCGTTACAAGCTCCTGACTATAGTAATAATACACTTGCTAGGGTATGAAACCCAGTCAGAGCCGATTTGGTCGTTTGCTCGTTTATAGCAAAGTTCTCTACCTTTTTTAACAAAGTTAGACACCTTTTTCTTCTCCAATTTCTTAGCGCCACCAGGTCTTTATTCGATTTAAGTGTGACCAGAAGTGAATCCGTTTATCGAAGTTTTCACATCTCTAATTTTCGCTACGCTTTGTTTATTTCTTGTAATCAGTAATTAATAAAAGTATTAATCAAAAACAGGCAACAGCGAGCACACGAAATGTCTAACGCACAGCGCTCGTTTGTGCAAAAGGTTTCTAAGTAAGTTGGCCCCGACCGGCTACAAACAACGCCCAACGTTTGTGTCTATATCAATTTTCTCCTCATACTCAAAGGCAGTCGGCGGCAGATGTACGGAAAAATGTTTCCAATTGCCATTTGTCTAAGACCATAGACACGTCGTTGTGCTCTTCTACGGTGAGTTAAGCTTGAGCTAATTGTTCATACATAAAGACAAATCCGGTCTCTGGCACAGGTTTCCCCGACAGAGCCGCTCGACTATGAGGAGTTCCTCTCGCAGCATATGAACATCATCAGCCGAGATCCCTTGAAGCACATCCTGGACTTTCCCCAAGGAGATGTAACTGTAAAAGTCATTCCCCGAAAAATCCGGACTGTTGATCACATTGTCCCCAGCGAAAAACTGTTAGTTATCGAACCATTGCCCAGTTAAAGAACGCCACTTATGAACCTTTTTCAGGACGGATTTGCCGCAACATGTCCAAGAGTGCGTCAACTGCTACACACGGCCATGGAAGACAGTTGAGTACGCGCAGCGGCACCTCTCCAGCTCGTGCTACATTCGCGAGCGGATTGATCGCGGTGCCATTAGCCCGTCGGCATACCAACAGGAGTTTGAGATCGACAAGGACTTCGCTTCCTTCGAGGAGACGTTTGCCTACAAGAGCGAAAGCTGCACTCCCAGTTCAAGACAGTCTATAGCGAGTTTAGCTTCGGTTAGTTCTTGCACGGATACCTTAACGCCTCGCGGCTCGTGGGCCAGCTTCGATCTGCGGCGCTCGGTCAATGATCCCCTCATACCGAACCTACTGGACAACGTTCCGCCGGAACAAATCGATCAGACCAACGAAGCGCGACGGCAGCAGGACCGTCAAGTGGCTCTCTTTTCGCTGTATCCAGAGTCTGAATTGGAAGAAAGCATCGAGCGGAGGTTGATGGCCGATATTCCCATGGAGCACATGGGACACCGCATTCAAGTCAAGTGCCTTCAGCTCCGTCTTGAACTCGAGGTGGAGCCAATCTTTGCCTCTATGGCAATATATGACGCCAAAGAACGTCAGAAAATATCGGAGAACTTTTACTTCGACATGAATTCGGATAGTCTGAAGCGGATGTTGTCAACTCACGTCCAGTGTGCCGACGTCAGCACCCAGAGCCACTCGGCCATATTTGAAATCTCATACCCGAGCAACGACCTTTTCCTCGTAATTCGTCTGGAGAAGGTGTTGCAGGGCGATATTAACAACTCGGTGGAACCGTACTTGAAGGAGGACAAGGATAAGTACCGAGAGAAGGTGAAGTCGAACGCCGCCGACTATTGTGAGCGTTTGGGAAAATATCGAATGCCTTTTGCATGGACCGGAATCTACTTGACGGACGTTTTCAATGGCGACAATTTTGAAGGCAAGGACGTCGGGGGGAATGACCGCGATTCCGCTGCCAGCGGGGCCGGCAGCAGCGGATTGGGCACAGCTCCGAGCTCTAATAGTTTGGATCGGAAGTCATCAACAAGTAGCTTTGACCAGCTCAGACGAAAAGCCGATTATGTGAGCGGAACCTTGACTCGCCGCGGCTCTTTGGAGCGGAAGGAGAAGCGGCGATCGTGGTCGCCAGATGATTTCGCGAATGTTGTTGAAAACTTTCGCCCTATTACGATAACGGTTCCAAACTTCTTCAAGCAAGAGGCAGATAAGATGAAGGACGAGGACTTGTATAAAATTCTGCCAGAGCTAAAACGACCAAGCTCAGTTATGAAGAAATACAAATGCATTCCAGGCTCCATTAAACTGGAGATCTCACCCTGCATTGAGGACGCCAAGAACTCCCTAACGCCAGAGCTGGCCAAAATAAACCCGCAGAGCGCCGAGAACACACGCCCTGTTAAAGAAGTGCTGGAATTTCCACACTCGGCTATTTTTAATCCACACTACACCTATCGCAATCTGCTGTTCGTTTCGCCAAAAGAACTCAATTTCTCATCGCGTGCTGGTTCCGCACGTAATATTGCCGTACGCATACAGTTGATGGCGGGCGAAACACCAAAGGATGCAGTAAATGCCATTTACGGCAAGTCTTCTTGCCCGAAATTCTCAACAGAGGCATTCACGGCTGTCAACTACCACAACAAGTGCCCATCGTTCTATGATGAGATAAAAATTGCCCTGCCTGCCTCAATAAAGCAGCATCATCACTTATTTTTCACCATCTACCATGTGTCCTGTCAAAAGAAGCCTCAGGACGTTCAACCGTCGGTGGAGACACCTATTGGTTATACATGGCTGCCATTATTGGAGGATGGCAAGCTCAAGGTTGGAGAATTCAATCTGCCTGTTATGGTGGAATCACCACCGGAAAACTACTCCTTTATACCTCCAAATGTGCATCTCCCCGGTATCAAATGGCTGGACAATCACAGAGCAGTGTTCGCTATCAATGTAGAAGCAGTGACTGCCATTCATACGTTGGATGCTTTTCTGGATCGTTTCTTTCTGATCTGCGAGTATCTGGACACTCGTAATATACCGTCCCATATCGGTGAGGGAAATATAGAGGCGGAACTCAAGAAGTGTTTACTAGACATCGAGAATGCAAGTCGGGAGGCGTTGGTGAGGCATTTGCCATTGGTCCTGGATAAACTTATCGAATTGCTGGTGATGACCCACAAGATTGGTGGCCAAACCATGTCTCTGGGCTCTACGGTCTTCGAAGTTCTGTGCTTGGTTTCGTCACTCTTGTCCATATTAAACGACGATCTCGTAGTTGACCAATACGGACGGCAGAGTTTGCTTTCGACTTACGTGCAATTTCAGTGTAAAATTCCCCATCCCTTCCACAGCAAGCAGAGATTAACGTGTAGTCGCAGCACAACAGATGAGCTGCAAGTGAGCGAGTCCTATAGCCTGTATGATGATGTGATAACTAGTGGTCGCAGTCTAGACCGAAAAGGTAAAACGGGTTCTAAGATCCACACGCCATTTATTAAAATATTTTTATTCCAGACCCTTCAATGGATATTATTCACTCAATCGTGGGTCGGGATGTTCAAGTGCGCCTGCTACACGAAGAACTGGCCCTCCACTGGGTCGTTGCCAGTGGGAAAGCGGCCGAGTTAGCCATGTCGAATTCATGGTTTTTATTTGAGCTCATCATCAAGTCAATGATTGAGCACTTGCACAACTCCAACACCCTGAATGGGCCGCGTAAGAATCGTTTCCCACACCAGGTCAATGACGATTTGTCTACCCTGGTGCATCTAGTCACTACAAAAGTAGTTGGCTACCATTGCAGCGAGCCCAAGTTGGCACAATCCCTGAATGCCAGCTTAGGCTTTTTTATTTTCGACATCCTGAGCATTATGGACCGGGGATTTGTATTTGGCTTGATTAAGACCTACACGAAGGTTCTGATTTCTAAAAACGCCTCCATACCAGATTTAATGAACTACAAATTAGACTTCTTGAGAATTGTGTGTAGCCATGAACACTTTGTAGCTCTTAACTTGCCGTTTGGAACTTCGTACACGATGGTTTCTGCGCCATGTAGCCCCACTCCAAGCACCACATCGTGCAACAGTCAGACCTCATGCGTAAGTTGATTCGAAATCGTAAAAACGTGTCCTTATTTGTATATTATCTGACAGGGATCATTAGAACGAGCTCTACACGCGGACCTCAGTCGGGAATTCCTCCAACAACACTTTCTAGTCGGACTTGTTCTCAGCGACTTGGCTGCAGTAATGGAGGTTCCGAATCCCCAGTTACACGGAAAGGCTATTCGCTGCGTTCGTAACCTAATGACATCGCACGATTTGGACACTCGGTACAGCGATACCGAAGCCCGTGCCAGAGTGGCGGCTTTGTACATCCCCCTGCTCTCAATAGTCATGGACAGCATTCCGCAGTTGCATCAGCATGGACTTGAACAGGACCGCTTGCAGCAGATCGGACAGCTCGAAGATTACCAAGGCCCCCATCAAACCATGACGACAACCACCATAAATCCAGAAGTGGCATATGCAATATCCGGCAGTCGTCCCTACTCCTATATGAGTGAGCAAGTCAAGACCAAGTCTCCATTCAGTTCAGAAAACACCCGGCACTTAATGGTCTGCTTTCTTTGGGTGTTAAAGAACTTGGAGCGAAGTATTCTTTACCGTTGGCTGTTGGGCCTGAGCCCGCATAGAGTGCACCAAATGCTGCAGGTTGTAAACGTTGGCCTCAAAACGTTCGAATATACGGGGCAGAGACACGTCCCCACCCTAAAGCGGACAAATACTCAAAGCTTTAGGAAAAATGTGTCTACAGACGTGAAGGAGAAGTTGGAGGAATGTATAAGAGGCACCAACTCTGCACGCTACGATCTAATAAACAGGCGGAAAGATCGCAATTCGACAGAGAAGTTCCGCTGGCGAAAGGATCAGATGCCCTACCGCTCACAGTATGCGGACGGCACGGGCAAAAGTGAGCATGAAATTGAATTGAGTCACTTCATTGAAGGTTCTCTGGCTACCGAAGTAGCACTTGTACTCCTGGACACCCTTGAAATTATTGTTCACGTGGCCGCTAACCTCCACCACAATCTCCTGGGGACCGTGCTCAAGGTGTTGCTGCATGCCCTGTCCCGAAATCAATCAACTCTAGCGCTACAAAACTTGTTCGCCTCGCAGCGCGCTCTAATCTTCAAATTTCCGAACCTACTATTTGATGAGGAGACCGACATATGTGCCGACTTGTGTTTGATTTTACTGAAGCACTGCGGGTCTCTTTTGCCTGGTATTCGCTCACAAGCAGCTGCATCCCTTTATCTCCTGATGAGACAAAACTTCGAAATCGGCAATGTAAGTTGAAGTTTAGTTTAAAGATTCTAATTAATTGACTTGTTTGCGCGTGTGCTTTCAGAATTTCGCCCGCGTCAAGATGCAAGTGACTATGTCGTTAAGTTCGCTTGTTGGTACCAGCACGGTGTTCAGTGAACAGTCTTTGCGGCGCGCGCTGAAAACAGTTCTTGTGTATGCCGAGTCAGACTCTGATCTCCAGGACACGTCGTTCCCAGAGCAAGTGCAGGACCTGTTATTCAATCTCCACATGATACTGTCTGATACTGTGAAGATGAAGGAGTACCAAGAAGATCCAGAAATGTTGCTTGATCTCATGAATCGTATTGCAAAGGGTTACCAGAATAATCCTGATCTAAGGTTGACTTGGTTGGAGAATATGGCCAAGAAGCACCGTGAGCGTGCGAACCATACTGAGGCAGCAATGTGCTATGTGCACGCAGCTGCTTTAGTTTCTGAATATCTTAGCATGCTGGAGTCACAGACCCACCTTCCTGTTGGCGCCGTCACTTTTCAGCGCGTTTCACCGAACACTCTTATGGAGTCAGCGGTGTCAGATGACGTCCTCAGTCCAGGGGAGGACGGCATCTGCCTGGGAAACCACTTTACGGAAACTGGACTGAAGGCTTTGCTGGAAGAAGCCTCCAATTCGTTTCAAGTTGCTGGCATGTATGAAGCGATGAACGAGGTGTACAAGATTCTGATTCCCATTTACGAAGCGAACAGGGATTTTCAGAAACTCAGCAAAGTGCACGGCAAGCTGCAGGAAGCTTTCAACAGAATAGCCCAGCTACAGGTTTATAATTTATTGATTTTCTATTTCTTGCAGCCATATATATTTTATTATTTTATTTATTTATATGTACAACAGGGAAAAAGGGTTTTCGGCACATACTTTCGTGTGGGTTTTTATGGAGGCAAATTCGGAGATCTGGACCAGCAGGAATTTATTTACAAAGAACCCACTTTAACAAAGTTACCAGAGATTTTCAGCCGCCTCCAGGTAGGCAATAAGCCATAGCAAACAAAAAAACCAAACTTAATTTCTTATTCAATATATGCCGCAGAACTTCTACACCGAACGCTTCGGACCGGACTCAGTTCATATCATCAAGGACTCAAATGCAGTCGACATAAACTCTTTGGATCCCGATAAGGCGTACATTCAGATAACCTATGTGGAGCCATACTTTGAAACCTACGAGATGCGTCATCGAGAAACATATTTTGAGAGGAATTTCAATATCAGTAAGTATTTGATTAATCTTTATATGTTCCTAATAATGCTTTATTTGTTTTTAAATAGAACGTTTCATATATGCGACGCCGTTCACGAAAAACGGAAAAGCACACGGCGAACTCCATGAGCAGTGCAAGCGGAAGACGATTCTGACCACAGCCAACCACTTTCCGTACGTGAAAACTAGAATAATGGTTATTAGCCGGCAGCAAATAGTCTTGGAACCCATTGAAGTGGCAATAGAGGCAAGTCTAGTCAAGGCCATACCTTACAAACATCTCTAACACCAATTTTCTAATTAGGATATCCAAAAGAAAACAGTGGAGTTGGCGGCGGCTACGAATCAAGAGCCTGCGGACCCAAAAATATTGCAAATGGTGCTGCAGGGGTGCATAGGAACCACCGTGAATCAAGGACCCATGGAAATGGCAAGCGTGTTTCTCTCAAACCTATCCGACGGCACCACCGTGCCAACCAAGCACCAAAACAAGCTGCGGCTCTGCTTCCGAGAGTTTTCGAAGCGTTGTGCAGATGCCTTGAAGAAGAATCGCAACCTAATACTTTCCGATCAGAAAGATTACCAGCGGGAACTGGAGCGCAACAACGATCGTTTCATTGAGCGCTTGACGCCTTTTATCACTCTGACAACAGCTCAGAACAATGGCATCGTTAAGTATGTCTCAAAATATTTTTTTTTATTATTATTTCTTCAATCGAACCATTGTACCTTCACTTACTTTCAGGGCTAATGCAAACAATAACAAAAGCACTCCGCTGAAATGGTAAATTCTGCAGTACACAGTTGTTAGAACTTTGTTTTAAAAGAACCCTTGCTATTTCATGTCTAGCGTGGCGGATTATTTTAAGTAAGTTGCGCGTCATCTTTAAAAGTTCAATTGGACAATATTAATATTTTGACTGATTGATCTCTCTTTTGGTGGCATATAAGACCAAATCTTTTAAACTCTCGTATAAGGTCCAAATCCAAATATTATTACCAAAAATAATTAACAGTGACTAATAATAAAATACACTTCATTCTATATGCATTTATATCTTATAAATCGTTTGAAAATACAACATAAAAACGACTTTTTTTAAGATATTGGCTCGCCTGAGAAGCATTCAGCAAAATTATTTTTTATTTTTTATAACTTCCCTAGCAGTTTGTAATCCGAAATCTGACTTTTAAATATTCGCATTCTTTTTAACTGATATTGTCGTATGACAATTTTCTTCTGCCAGAGACGGTTAGATTTGGCTTTTGATGCTGATCAAGAATATATGGGATTTATAGGGTCGGAAATGATTTCTTCACAGCGTCACAAGCTCCAGACTTAAGTAAAAATACCCTTCCTAGGGTATAAAACCCAGTCAGAGGCGATTTGGTTGTTTCGCTGCTCGATCAATTGGGAAACCCCCCATTCGGCACCAATGAAAAAATGCTGGACGATCAATCAGAGGGCCAATGAAGCTGTTTTGTGCCCAGCAGCTGGTTCCACCAAGTATGGACTCTGACGGACACCATATCCGTCAATCACAATTGATTTAATGGAATAACGTAATAAGATGATAATTGATAAGAACAAGCTAAATTTACTATAAAGGAATAGAAATTAACTATTCACAGCAGGGCACACGATAGGAAATATTTCAAGAAACGAGTGAATATAGTATTTTCTTCTATTGATTATAAAAAATTATAGTGTATGTATGAGTGAACGTATGCTTGTAATAAAATTAACTATTTAAAATCATATCGAATTTGTTGTTTCGAACCAAAACAAAACAATTATAAGTAAACCCATCAGGTTTTATGATAAGCTTTTGACGCAGGTGTTACAATTATTATACTCGATTTGGAGGCCGATACTTTGGTGAGGTGACGACCACTAGCGTGCAGCCCCATTCTACTTTTTGGGATGGTATAAATAAAGCTGCAAGTCCCGCCACTGCCAACACTTGGAGCGGAGGACTTGAAGTCGTTATGCTGAATGCTTGGTTATTTGCAGCTCTATTGGCCCTCCAATGGGACGCCGCTACAGGAGCGTCCTTCGAGACTGAGTTGCCAGAAAAATGTGTTAGTCGGCGACTTATTAACCGTTATCAGTTAAATGAGGAAATCTACGGACAAGGGAAGTGCGGAAATAATCATCAGACGAAATATCGAGATAAGCGCCGTGTCGATCCAACTTTCCATGGCAATCCCAAGCCGCGGGCAGATCTTTTGGCTGGCAAATTTCACGTAAATTCGTACAACTTCGATCAGACGAACTCTTTGGTGGGTTTGGTTAAGAAAATAGCCGAGGAGTACCTTAAAAAATGCCCGCCAATCATATATTACGATAGTTTTGTCGAAAAATCAGATGGCCTGATTCTAGAGAACTTATTCAAGGAAAGTTATATCTCAGCCTCTGGTTAGCTTAAAAAAGTTACTTATATATTCATAAAGGATTTGTTTCTTTGCAAAACCCCACATATTTAAGTTTAGGCTTTAAGTCAATACTTATAGCACTTATAGCATTGTGTTTTTTCGCAGACTCTCCCCATTACTTTTTACCATGGCGAGATTAATGCTCGCTATGAAGCAAAAAACTCCCACTTCACAAGCCCTATAGATAGTTATTGGAAAAGTTACATCCTATTCCTTTCGGACCCACTGATGACGCGTAAGATTCTGGGCGCCCAAACAGAAAGTCGGGTGGTTCTCGTCTCTAGGTCAACACAGTGGAAGCTCCGTGACTTTTTGTCTTCGGAACTGTCTTCGAACATTGTCAATTTGCTAGTAATCGGAGAATCCCTTATGGCCGACCCAATGCGAGTAAGTATAAATACCAAGATTTAGGAAATATTTAAGGTCCACTTACCCCTGCCACAGGAACGTCCATACGTGTTGTACACCCACAAGCTATACGCAGATGGCCTCGGCTCTAATGTTCCCGTGGTGCTCACCAGCTGGATAAAGGGAGCTTTGTCCCGACCACACATCAATCTCTTTCCTCCAAAATTCCAAATGGGCTTCGCCGGCCATCGCTTCCAACTGGGGCAACTGGGGCGAGATGGAGAATATGTTCTGGTATGTGTTTGGCATGTTTACCAACGCGTTCACATTCAGCGGCAAATACTCATGGAGCAGCACGCAGAAGAACTCAACGCGTCTCCTGATCGGCGCCTACTGGCTATTCACGATACTTATTACTTCCTGTTACACCGGCTCCATCATAGCCTTTGTAACTTTGCCAGCTTTTCCAGATACGGTGGACTCTGTGATGGACCTCCTAGGTCTGTTCTTCCGTGTGGGCACCCTGGGTGAGCAGAGAAGAAAAAGGAAATTTAAGGATGACTCAATTCATAGCAACTTATAGATAATGGGGGATGGGAGACATGGTTCCAAAACTCTACTCACATTCCAACCTCTAGACTGTACAAGAAGATGGAGTTTGTCGGGACCCTAGAGGAAGGCATCGGCAACGTCACGCAGAGCTTCTTCTGGAACTACGCTTTTCTCGGCTCTAAGGCTCAACTGGAGTACTTGGTACAGTCGAACTTCTCGGATGAGTAAGCATGAACATGCCCCCCTCTGCTGCTGCAAAGTATGTAATTTTTTCCTCGTCTAGAAACATATCACGACGATCGGCGCTGCATCTAAGCGAAGAGTGCTTCGCTCTCTTCCAAATAGGACTGCTCTTTCCCCGAGAGGCCGTTTACAAGAGCAAGATAGACTCGATGATCCTGTTGGCGCAACAGAGCGGTCTTATTACCAAAGTAAACAACGAGGTCAGCTGGGCCATGCAGCCTGACCACGGCAGACACGGAGGGGATGTTCTTGCTCATGGCGCTCGGCTTCTTTCTGGGGGCCACGGCCCTCGTGTCCGAAATCGTGGGCGGAATAACGAACAAGTGCCGGCAGATCATAAAGCGCTCTCGAAAGCCGGCCTGCAGCTCCTGGTCCTCCCGCCACAGTTCGGCCGACATGGGTGGAGAGCCGCTCACCGAGCATGGCCACTCGAATGCCCTAGTAGATATAGCTCCTTGGAAGGCGACGAGTCGTCCCGGAAGGCCATCGAGTCGCTGCACCGTTTAGACGACTATATTTTGCAGATGGATGAGTCTTCTCCGCACTTTTTGCGGGACGAAATGTTTGGTGCACACACTGAGCCGCGCGATTTATCTGAAACACAATAGGTAAGGACAGCACCTAATTATTAAAGAGTACCACTATTTATGTGTGTATATGTAGTTTGCGCACGTTTTCTTGGTCGCTCCAGCGATGTTACACGAAACTACATACAAATTGTCAATAAGAAATCCTTTTCGCGGATAAGTTTATCGATATTCGATCGCACTTACCCCTTCCACCAGTTGCGCATTGCGATCAGCTGTCTTTTTTGGGGCCGCAGCCTGCAGGTCCAAAGTCGTGCTCATAACTTACAAGCGCCGGCAAACTGTCGCACCCGACAGTCAGCGTATAGTTCCTGGTCCTCTTTCCACAGTTCTGCCGACGTGGGCGGAGAGTCCGAGCACCGAGGCTGAGCAGTGGGCGCACACCGAACGGAAGGCGGCAGGACAGAACGGCGCTCGGAATTGCCATAACATGAATTTCGGCATGCGCGACGAGTCGTACCGGAAAGCCCGCACTTAAAAAATATAAAAGAACACCACAATTAGACTATTACTATCACATTTTAGACTTTTTTTGGGAGCTCCGTCAAAGTCGCGACACTACCGAAAAAATGCCAATAAGAAAATGGAGACGATTTCCGCGGGAGAAATAAATATGTTATCGATTTTCGGTGCCACGAACCTCCTATCAGTCTGGCAGCGCCAAGTTTTAGCAAAGTTCCCTACTTTTAAGGTTGTGTCTTCACTTACGATAGGTATCGATTAATTGGTGTTCTTTAGGTGTGACCACTTGCAGTGCCAGGAAAATCCGTTCTTTCTTCGACGAATGGTTGACTTTTTGAAAGGACAGCCCGGCGGGCACACGGCTTAAACTTTTACCAAACAAAATTGGACTTTTGTAAACAAATTAATACATAAATATAGTTTACAAAGCCGGTGGATGAGTCGAAGCTTAGGGATATCGAAGCCCCACTGCCAGATTAAATGGCTACCCAGGAGCTGGACGACGGGGCTATCTCCATTCTCCAATTGCAGCCCTACCAGGAAATCGAAGACGAGCTGGAGCAGCTGCCCGATGACATCCTGCGATGTTGTGCCCAGGAACTAAGTTACAGTGACTTTTTCTGGCTTTACATGCACAAGAATTTGCCCGTAATCATCACTGATGTCTCCAACAGCTGGGAGTGCCAGCAGTGGACGACTACAAAGATCCCAGAGAACACGATAGATGTGAATTTTAATACCGGACAATCCTCGTTCCTCCGCTCCATTAACTTTGACTACCTCAAAACCAAAATTGGTAATACCCCCGTTCCCGTAGCCGACTGTAACTCAGCGTACTTTAACAGCCATACGAAGCTGGAGCTTAATTTCTACGATTACCTCGAGAGATGGCGGAGCAGAATCGAAACCGATACCCCAGAAGTAAATAGTAACGCGGATACAGCGAACCGGGACAATCTCTACCTCAAGGACTGGCATCTGGCGGCCCAGATGCCCAGCTATAGCTTCTACCAGGTGCCTAAATATTTTGCCTCCGACTGGCTCAACGAACAGCTCATTGATCAGGGCAAGGACGACTACAGATTCGTCTATATGGGGCCCAAGAATTCTTGGTAAGAGGTTAGGACTTCTTATTAAGACTTTATTTTATAATAAAATTAACCCACTATTTTTAGGACCTCATATCACTCGGACGTCTTTGGTTCCTTTAGCTGGTCAACCAATATTGTGGGCCTTAAAAAATGGCTGATAATGCCACCAGGCGAGGAATTCAAACTCCAGGATCGATTGGGAAATCCGCCATTCAACATCAATGAACAAATGCTAGATGAACACAATGTCCGATATTACACCATCAACCAGAGGGCCAACGAAGCTGTTTTTGTGCCCAGCGGCTGGTTCCACCAAGTGTGGAATTTGACGGACACCATATCCGTGAATCACAATTGGTTCAATGCGTGCAACATTTTTATGGTGTGGCAAAATCTCAAAAACAACCTGACGGCCGTGTGGAAGGAGATCTCGGATTGCCAGCAAATGGAAAACTTTGAGGCACACAGCCAGACAATGCTGAGGGCCAGTTTTGGCATTAACTACCTCGATTTTATAGAGCTCTTGGAGTTCATTGCCGCTCGCCGGTTGGCCGAGAAAAACTCAGCTACTAAGTTTTTACTATTCAATAGATATACAATGAACGATTGGCATGTGCATCACGATCTAGAGTGCTTGAAGAAGATAATAAAAACAATGACGGAGGATCAAACTATCCGGAATAGTACCCTTCCACTACACAGTCGCTGCCAGCAATTACTCTGCCAATTGGAGTTTTAGGGGTCACACGTAAAGGCCTTGGCATAATATTTTTATACCAAAAATCTTGTGTATTAGTATACAGACAATAGCTGCAATATTTTAATAAAAATATTTAAACAGACTGCTATTCCCTCTAGGGCCTTAAAAATCTGATTGAGTTGGTTTTGTTTTGGGCTTCTTTTCTGTTCTGTGCCTTTTTTCCCTGTAGTCACTAGGCTCTCAAGTCCTCAAGATTCGTGGGACGACTTGAATATATATATATATATGTATATATTAATATACCTATATCGTCATATGGGTTTTGCCTAAAAACATCGAAAATATTTGTATACCCTTGCAGTCTGATGATTGCGACGAGTGAAGGAGTCATTGGCGACCCTATAAACCATATATATTCTTGATCAGCATCAACAGGCGAAACTTTCTAGGCATGTAGGAAGGAAATAAATTGTTTGTGATTTTTTACAACAAAAATATATGATGTTATTACATCTGTAACATTTTCAAAAATCGGTAAAATTTGTAATATCTTATGTGTTCAATTTGGGTATGCAGATTGATTAACCTATTCTAAACTATCACAGAACAGGCTTCATTATCAAAATTAATACATTTTTGGCTTAGTTATGAGTTTCTTAAGTTTCGATTTGTACAAAAAATTGTCTACAAAATATAGATTAATATTCACATAGAATGCGAATATTCAGGGTTTTGTAATTTCAGTCTGAAGCTTGCGACGAGTGAAGGAGTCATTGGCGACCCTATAAACCATATATATTCTTGATCAGCATCAACAGGCGAAACTTTCTAGGCATGTAGGAAGGAAATACATTTTTTGTCATTTTTTACTATAAAAATATATGATGTTATCACATCTGTAAAATTTTCAAAAATTAGTAAAATTTGTAATACCTTAAGTGTTCAATTTGGGTATGCAGATTTATTATCCTATTCTAAACTAGCACAGAACAGGCTTCATTATCAAAATTAATGCATTTTTGGCTTAGTTATGAGTTTCTTAAATTTCGATTTGTACCAAAAATTGTCTACAAAATATAGATAAATATAAACAGTGCGAATGTTCAGGGTTTTATAATTTCAGTCTGAAGCTTGCGACGAGTGAAGGAGTCATTGGCGACCCTATAAACCATATATATTCTTGATCAGCATCAACAGGCGAAACTTTCTAGGCATGTAAGAAGGAAATAAATTGTTTGTGATTTTTACAACAAAAATATATGATGTTATCACATCTGTAAAATTTTCAAAAATCGGTAAAATTTGTAATATCTTATGTGTTCAATTTGGGTATGCAGATTGATTAACCTATTCTAAACTATCACAGAACAGGCTTCATTATCAAAATTAATACATTTTGGCTTAGTTATGAGTTTCTTAAGTTTCGATTTGTACAAAAAATTGTCTACAAAATATAGATTAATATTCACATAGAATGCGAATATTCAGGGTTTTGTAATTTCAGTCGGAAGCTTGCGACGAGTGAAGGAGTCATTGGCGACCCTATAAACCATATATATTCTTGATCAGCATCAACAGGCGAAACTTTCTAGGCATGTAAGAAGGAAATAAATTTTTTGTCATTTTTTACTAAAAAAATATATGATGTTATTACATCAGTAAAATTTTCAAAAATTGGTAAAATTTGTAATACCTTAAGTGTTCAATTTGGGTATGCAGATTTATTAACCTATTCTAAACTAGCACAGAACAGGCTTCATTATCAAAATTAATACATTTTTGGCTTAGTTATGAGTTTCTTAAGTTTCGATTTGTACAAAAAATTGTCTACAAAATATAGATTAATATTCACATAGCATGTGAATATTCAGGGTTTTGTAATTTCAGTCTGAAGCTTGCGACGAGTGAAGGAGTCATTTCCGACCCTATAAACCATATATATTCTTGATCAGCAGCAACAGGCGAAACTTTCTAGGCATGTAGGAAGGAAATAAATTTTTTGTCATATTTTACTACAAAAATTTATGATGTTATTACATCTGTAAAATTTTCAAAAATTAGTAAAATTTGTAATACCTTAAGTGTTCAATTTGGGTATGCAGATTTATTAACCTATTCTAAACTAGCACAGAACAGGCTTCATTATCAAAATTAATGCATTTTTGGCTTAGTTATGAGTTTCTTAAGATTCGATTTGTACAAAAAATTGTCTTCAAAATATAGATTAATATTCACATAGAATGCGAATATTCAGGGTTTTGTAATTTCAGTCTGAAGCTTGCGACGAGTGAAGGAGTCATTGGCGACCCTATAAACCATATATATTCTTGATCAGCATCAACAGGCGAAACTTTCTAGGCATGTAAGAAGGAAATAAATTTTTTGTCATTTTTTACTAAAAAAATATATGATGTTATTACTTCAGTAAAATTTTCAAAAATTGGTAAAATTTGTAATACCTTAAGTGTTCAATTTGGGTATGCAGATTTATTAACCTATTCTAAACTAGCACAAAACAGGCTTCATTATCAAAATTAATGCATTTTTGGCTTAGTTATGAGTTTCTTAAGTTTCGATTTGTACCAAAAATTGTCTACAAAATATAGATTAATATTCACATAGCATGTGAATATTCAGGGTTTTGTAATTTCAGTCTGAAGCTTGCGACGAGTGAAGGAGTCATTTCCGACCCTATAAACCATATATATTCTTGATCAGCAGCAACAGGCGAAACTTTCTAGGCATGTAGGAAGGAAATAAATTTTTGTCATATTTTACTACAAAAATTTATGATGTTATTACATCTGTAAAATTTTCAAAATTAGTAAAATTTGTAATACCTTAAGTGTTCAATTTGGGTATGCAGATTTATTAACCTATTCTAAACTAGCACAGAACAGGCTTCATTATCAAAATTAATGCATTTTTGGCTTAGTTATGAGTTTCTTAAGTTTCGATTTGTACCAAAAATTGTCTACAAAATATAGATTAATATTCACATAGCATGTGAATATTCAGGGTTTTGTAATTTCAGTCTGAAGCTTGCGACGAGTGAAGGAGTCATTTCCGACCCTATAAACCATATATATTCTTGATCAGCAGCAACAGGCGAAACTTTCTAGGCATGTAGGAAGGAAATAAATTTTTTGTCATATTTTACTACAAAAATTTATGATGTTATTACATCTGTAAAATTTTCAAAAATTAGTAAAATTTGTAATACCTTAAGTGTTCAATTTGGGTATGCAGATTTATTAACCTATTCTAAACTAGCACAGAACAGGCTTCATTATCAAAATTAATGCATTTTTGGCTTAGTTATGAGTTTCTTAAGTTTCGATTTGTACAAAAAATTGTCTTCAAAATATAGATTAATATTCACATAGAATGCGAATATTCAGGGTTTTGTAATTTCAGTCTGAAGCTTGCGACGAGTGAAGGAGTCATTGGCGACCCTATAAACCATATATATTCTTGATCAGCATCAACAGGCGAAACTTTCTAGGCATGTAAGAAGGAAATAAATTTTTTGTCATTTTTTACTAAAAAAATATATGATGTTATTACATCAGTAAAATTTTCAAAAATTGGTAAAATTTGTAATACCTTAAGTGTTCAATTTGGGTATGCAGATTTATTAACCTATTCTAAACTAGCACAGAACAGGCTTCATTATCAAAATTAATGCATTTTTGGCTTAGTTATGAGTTTCTTAAGTTTCGATTTGTACCAAAAATTGTCTACAAAATATAGATTAATATTCACATAGCATGTGAATATTCAGGGTTTTGTAATTTCAGTCTGAAGCTTGCGACGAGTGAAGGAGTCATTTCCGACCCTATAAACCATATATATTCTTGATCAGCAGCAACAGGCGAAACTTTCTAGGCATGTAGGAAGGAAATAAATTTTTTGTCATATTTTACTACAAAAATTTATGATGTTATTACATCTGTAAAATTTTCAAAAATTAGTAAAATTTGTAATACCTTAAGTGTTCAATTTGGGTATGCAGATTTATTAACCTATTCTAAACTAGCACAGAACAGGCTTCATTATCAAAATTAATGCATTTTTGGCTTAGTTATGAGTTTCTTAAGTTTCGATTTGTACAAAAAATTGTCTTCAAAATATAGATAAATATTCACATAGAATGCGAATATTCAGGGTTTTGTAATTTCAGTCTGAAGCTTGCGACGAGTGAAGGAGTCATTTCCGACCCTATAAACCATATATATTCTTGATCAGCAGCAACAGGCGAAACTTTCTAGGCATGTAGGAAGGAAATAAATTTTTTGTCATTTTTTACTACAAAAATATATGATGTTATTACATCTCTAAAATTTTCAAAAATTGGTAAAATTTGTAATACCTTAAGTGTTCAATTTGGGTATGCAGATTTATTAACCTATTCTAAACTAGCACAGAACAGGCTTCATTATCAAAATTAATGCATTTTTGGCTTAGTTATGAGTTTCTTAAGTTTCGATTTGTACAAAAAATTGTCTTCAAAATATAGATAAATATTCACATAGAATGCGAATATTCAGGGTTTTGTAATTTCAGTCTGAAGCTTGCGACGAGTGAAGGAGTCATTTCCGACCCTATAAACCATATATATTCTTAATCAGCATCAACAGGCGAAACTTTCTAGGCATGTAGGAAGGAAATAAATTTTTTGTCATATTTTACTACAAAAATTTATGATGTTATTACATCTGTAAAATTTTCAAAAATTAGTAAAATTTGTAATACCTTAAGTGTTCAATTTGGGTATGCAGATTTATTAACCTATTCTAAACTAGCACAGAACAGGCTTCATTATCAAAATTAGGCATGTAGGAAGGAAATACATTTTTTGTCATTTTTTACTATAAAAATATATGATGTTATTACATCTGTAAAATTTTCAAAAATTAGTAAAATTTGTAATACCTTAAGTGTTCAATTTGGGTATGCAGATTTATTAACCTATTCTAAACTATCACAGAACAGGCTTCATTATCAAAATTAATGCATTTTTGGCATAGTTATGAGTTTCTTAAATTTCGATTTGTACCAAAAATTGTCTACAAAATATAGATTAATATTCACATATTCAAAAATTGGTAAAATTTGTAATACCTTAAGTGTTCAATTTGG